TTTTTTTCCTCTTACTGTCCTTTTCACTGGGCACTTTGGCGGTCGGGGACAAACCGCCCAGTATCCTCCCCGAGCATCTATATTCATAGGACGTTCACGCGCGCTCCCACCGGGAGTCGTGAGCTGCCTGACAATCCGCCATCCCATTAGGATTGTTTTTTAGGAGTTTTGACGAGTTCTCCTTATCAAAATGTCTAATGCCTTTCGGAGTTTTGACGAGTTATCCTTTAAGAAAATGTCTCTTGGGCCGCAAAGCCATAATGAATAGGAAACAAAATAAATATATACACGTTTTTCCCAGCCGCCGGACGGCTATAAACTCGCGGCCAAGTGTCCTTTTCAGGACAGCCTGCCCTGTGTTCTTCTTAGCGGTGTTGAACTACGGGGGGGCAGGGTGTTAAGACCGACCAAGTTGGGCAATTGGGGGATAGGCTTCTCTGGCCTAAAACAATAGAGAACCACCGCAACACCAGACTTGAAATTTTCCCAGAGTTTACTCGGCATAATTCTGACTCAAGCATTTCGCAGAGAACACTAATTCAACCCATACTTAGTCACAACCGGGATTGAGTTCCGAGTCGAGTATGCTAGGCAAACTCTGACCTAGGTTAGGTTAGGTTAGGTTAAGGTGGCAGACCCGCAAAGGGGACTCACTTAGACATTTGATTGTCCATTGTGATACCACATTACATAGGAACGGTAACTGCGTAAAAAAATTACGAGAAGCGCTGGGTGCTCATAATGAAGTTCTTCAGACAGCTGATGTCCACTCCGGAGAGTCCCTCGGGAGTGTCGATGAAATGCGCACCGAGATGCTTAAACCGTAATCTAGCGAATGCCGGGCAGTTGAGTAGGAAGTGCTGAGATGATTCCACCTCGTCTTCCAGGCAACTGCGGCAGTAGGGATCCGTGACGATATTGAGTCGCACCGCGTGGGTTCCCATTGGACAGTGTCCGGTCAGTACACCTGTGAAAATCGAGAGCTGACGCTTAGCCAGCTGCAGCAGTTCCCTTGACCGCCCGCGGTCCACAACCGGCCAGAAGGACCTTGCAACTCTGCAAGTCGGGGTTTTTTCCCAGCGCTCGCTGAGCCGACCATGAGCCCATCTGTCCAAAAGCAGGCCGCAGGTTGCCAACGGAACTCCAATTCCCTCCCTATCCGAGGTGATGGCCTCAAGGGTGCCTTGCCTGGCCAGTTCATCAGCCCTGCAATTTCCCGCGATATCACTGTGCCCCGGGACCCAAATCAGTTTGATCTGGAAGTACTCCGAGGCAGTTGAGAGAGAGGTCAGGCATTCCCCAACCAGTTTTGAGCACACCATTAGCGATCCCAGCGCCTTGATTGCCGCCTGGCTATCAGTATATATATTTACCTTCCTTTTTGACAGTACATTGGTGCGTAGCCAATCGGCTGCCTCCTTTATAGCGGCCACCTCTGCCTGAAAGACGCTGCAGAGATCCGGCAGTCTGAAAGTAAGATCTACTGAGAGTTCCTGACAGTAGACACCTCCTCCAACTCTCCCTTCCAGCTTCGATCCGTCCGTAAAGATGTTTATTGGACCTCTTCTCCAAAGACCACCCCTCTTCCATTCATTCCTAGAGGGGATGTGCGTGGAGAAGGATCCTTTAGGGGCCAGCCTCGGGTGACCCCGGTCCATTTCTTTCGGCACGAAGTCGAAGCTTTCGAGAATTGTCGAGTGTCCGTGCGCTGGATTGAAAGAGAACCCAGAGCTTTTGAGCCTAATGGCTGAGCGAACCGCCGCTACTTTGCCCGAAATATCGACAGGTGCGACATTGAGTATAGCGTTTAGCGCTAAGGTGGGAGTGGTTCGGAGCGCCCCGCTGATCCCAACGAGGGCTGCCCTTTGCACGCGCTCTAGCTTCCTAACATGAGTGGTCTTTTCCAGTGAACTCCACCAGACGATGACCCCATACAACATTATTGGCTTAATTATGGTTTCATATAGCCAATACATCACTTTTGGGGAGAGGCCCCATCTCTTCCCTATGGCATTCTTGCAGCAGTAGAGGGCCACCGATGCCTTCCTCACTCGTTCCTCAATATTAGGTTTCCATGACAGTTTTCCGTCCAGGATCACGCCCAAGAACTTGACCCTGTCAGAGAGAACAAGTGGAACACCCCCTATTGAGGGAAGCTGGGCATGAGGCTTTTTGTACCTCCTGGTAAAAAGAACGAGCTCCGTCTTTCCAGGATTGACAGCAAGCCCGCAGCTAGCGGACCAATTTGTGACCCTGTTTAGGTACCCTTGCATGAGATCGTACAGAGTGTTCAAGAACTTTCCTCTGACGATGAGTGCCACGTCATCCGCGTAGGCAATAACCCGGCATCCTGTCCTCTCCAATTCCTCCAGGACGTCGTTTATCACGACTATCCAGAGGAAGGGTGAAAGGACGCCTCCCTGCGGGGTGCCTCTGCTTACTTTACGCTGCTCAGAGGCGTTGCCCCATTCCGCTGTGACAGTTCTGTCGTGCAGCAAGTGTGAGATGAGCCTTACTAAGTAGCTCTCGACTCCGAGCTTAGTAAGGGCTCTTATTATCGCCCCAGGAAGGACATTATTGAAAGCCCCCTCGATATCAAGGAAGGTACCCACTACAAAATCTTTGTTTTTAAGAGACTCCTCTATGGTTTTGACGATTGAGTGCAGGGCAGATTCCACGGATCTACCTTTCAGGTAGGCGTGTTGAGAGGGGCTAAAACGCTCTCGAGGAATCCTGTTTCTTATGTGCAGGTCAATCAGTCTCTCAAAAGTCTTCAATAAGAAAGATGAGAGACTGATTGGTCTGAAGTCCCTCGGGGATACATGAGAGTTCTTCCCTGCTTTGGGGATGAACGTGACCCTTACGCACCTCCAAGCCCCCGGGATGTATCCTCTTTCTAGGCAGCTCGCATAGATAGGGGTGAGCCAGCGGCACGAGACCTCCACAGCCTTTTGCAGCTGCGCAGGAATGATGCCATCCGGTCCCGGGGACTTGAAGGGCTTGAAAGAGTCGATTGCCCAGAGCAGTCGGCGCCTCTCCAGTAATTCACCGGAGGAGGAGGTAGAGCATTCGCCCTTTCCAACAGCGATAGGTTCGCGCGGTGCAGGATTTTCTGGGAAATGAGTATCAAGGAGTAGCTTAAGCGATTCCTCTCCACTCATCGCCCAGTTGCCCTCTTCGTCCCTCAGGTATCCCAAGGGTACGGGATTCCTCGCAAGGATTCGCCTAAATCGAGATGATTCATTACAACCTTCTACGGCTTCGCAGAAGTTTCTCCATGACTCGCTCTTGGCCTTTCTTATCTCGGACTTATAGATGCCCAGTCCGATCTTATAGAGCTCCCAGTCGGAGTGTTGTCCACTCTTCCTGGCTTTATTGAACAGGCGTCTACTCGTCGCCCTGAGTTCTGAGAGTTCCACCGTCCACCATTTTGGTCGTACTTTGCCCCCCGGCCTACTCAGCGGGCAAGAGATTTCGATGGCACTCCTACAAGCTGATGTAAACTTTTCCACCATAACATCAATCGAGCCTTCGGTGCTTAAGCTCTCCTGGGGGGCCTCTGGGAGTAATTCCCGAAGTTTTTTACTATAGAGGTCCCAGTTTGTTCTCCTAAGGTTCCTAAAGGGGATACTTTTGGGACGATCTTCGTCCAGAAAAAACTGAATATACCTATGGTCCGAAAAGGAGTGATCATTAAGAACCCTCCAGTCAGAAACGCGGGATATTACAGAAGACGAGGCTAGGGTGAGGTCAAGGACCTCTTGCCTTGCCGCGGTGATAAAGGTCGGTTCGTTTCCTCTATTACAGATACATAAGTCTACACTTAGAATATAATCAAAAAGTGACTCACCTCTTGCATTTATGTCTGAGCTTCCCCAGCACGAATGTCGTGAATTTGCATCCGACCCAATAATTACGTCGGCTTTCCGTCGCCTCGCTTCGGCTATGGCTTCACGCAGCAGTAATGGAGGTGGTTCCACCTCGTCATCATGAGCCATGTAAGCGGATATGATCCAGAGCTTTCCGGCACCGCTATCCAGGCTGACAGTCACAATGTCCTCGTTGCTGAAATTAGGTAGAATTAATGCTTTGAGTTCGTTTCTGATGAGCATGCAGGATCTTGGTCTACCTGCTTGATTCTGCACCATCAGCTTGAAATTAGGCGTCCTGATCCCGG